ACTTGTCTAAAATCGACAACCACCGAAAGAACTTGATTGTCTTTGACGACTGCGTGGCACAAAAAAGTCAAACCGTTCAACAAGAATTCTTCACGAAAGGAAGACATCACAACTGTCACTGCATATATCAATCCCAAACTTTCTACGGAATGGACGCCATTTTATCAGAAAGAACGCAAATTGTTTTTTATTATTCGAATTAAACGACAAAGATTTATCTCAAATCATTCAGTCGATAAATCACGCAATGGACAGAGATACATTCAAAAAGGATTGTAAAGCTCAATGGAGAAACCCGGATGATCATGGATATGTATTTGTAAATACTAGAAAACCCGCGGGTGAAAGAGTTATGACAGATATTTGTTAAATTTTATTTTTTTAAAAATGACGGATTGGAATAATATTTTAAAAAGAAATAGAGAATATATCAAAGCTAAGAATAAAATAAAGACCCAAGTTGAAAATAACAGATTACAACAACTCGGATTAACGGAAAATCTACAGACTCTATTTCAACCAATATTAAAATCTCAAGAGGATATTAAAAAGAAATTAGCTTTAGAACGGAAAATCTACAGACTCTATTTCAACCAATATTAAAATCTCAAGAGGATATTAAAAAGAAATTAGCTTTAGAACCCACACCTCATATAGAACCCACACCTCATCACCCCAAACCGATTGAATATGGTGGAATTATAATTAGGACCTTTGATGATATAAAACGTCTTTTTTCAAACCCTAGCCCAGAATTACCAAAGAGCATTTCACCAATCATTGATGAAGTGGGGCTAATTGTGGGACTTTGCTTTCAGCTAAGTCCCAGTTTGTTATCGAAATGTCAATTCTTTTTTTTTTTTTTTTCCACACCTTCTCAAGCAAAAGCTGCAACAGCTGCATCAATATTATTACATGTGTAGACCTTCTGCAGTGGCAACGTCGTAAATGAGTGTATTTTGGAACATTTTTGCAAAAACGGAAGTGCCACAGGTCCACATGTGCAAAAAGTCGAAAATCGGCTCTAGAAGGCGCATTTTTTGCATCGATTTTCTTCGGGTTTTCATTTTTACAATCTATTTTTCTGACCTGATAGCACTTGAAAAATTACGAAATTCGAAAATTCATAGCTCACCTTTTTCGATCAAATTTTTCAAATTTTTTGCAACTTTTTTGCTTTTGCATCGATTGATCTGAAATTTTAAATGCAAAGAGAGTTTACTAATGTAAATAATATGGTACAGTCAAAATTTGTACGTCATTTCCGCTTTTGAACAGGAAAGCGACTGAATTTCAAATCTACTTCCGGTTGAATAACTTCCGGTGTAATTTATGTAGGTCAACCAAATTTAGCTGATTTTTACCAAATGAAATTGTAAGGCCGATTTTAAAATAAAATCCAGACCGGAAGTGATACTTCGTCCGCCATATTGAAAAAACACACTTTTGTAAATCGAAAAATGGGGCCTCTATGAAGAAATGGGAGTGTATAATTTTGATGTGTATGTAATCTACAATCGATTGCCAACAAAAACTAGGAAGCCGATTTTTGAATTTCGCTTTTCATTTTTTGCAACTTCCGGTTGAAGTTTTTGCAAGTTCTATCTCGTGACCTTGACCTTTGATGACCTTGACCTTTATAAGATTAAAGGTCATTGACCTTGACTATCAGTTGATACTTTGACATTTGACTTCTGACCTGTACTTCCGGTTTTATAGCGTTCCGAAAAAAGCCAAATTCGCAACTTTGGACTGCTCTAGCATATGACCTAAATAACCTAAAGGGTCAATTTTTTATGTGCTTCCGATGCTCTTTCCAGTGATATATAACAATCGTACTTTTAAAGCAAATTCTTGATTTTTTCAAATTCGAGTGGTTTTTTACCATATTTATGTCTCTTTGAGCTTGGTGTATGTATATCCTATGATCTACTTGATGTAGAACCTTGAAATTTGGAACACAACTAGACATGTTGAATATGAATTCACTTATGACAAAAAAGTTGAGGTGGGCGTGGCACATCCGGGTTGAACTACTAATTGTTTACACTTAGAGGAAGGTGCATATCTCGCATAGGATACATTTGTTCAAAAAGGGACTTTGCACACAATTACCTCATTTGTTTGGCTAGTTTGTGTTAACAACTCAGTTATTTCAGCTTTATAGTTCCAAAAAAGGAACGAGTTTTAAAATTTCCATATTTTCAATTTTCGATTTTGACCTTTTTTGACTTTTGTTGACCTATATCTTTTGACCTGCATGATGTAGAAGCATTTTGAACATAACATCACAATTTGAACATCAATTAACCTATGCAAAAAAAATTGAGTTGGGCGTGGCACATCCGGGTTAAATTATTCATTATTGACATTTTTGGCCAAAGGCATAACTCGCAAAGAATACATTTGTTCAAAATGGAACTTTGCTCACAATTACGTCATCCTTTGAGCCACTTTGTCTAAGAAGGTCAGTTAGTTCAGCTTCATATATCAAAAAAAGGAACAGGTTTTGGAAATTCACAATTTTCAATTTTTGACCTTGACCTTTGATGACCTTGACCTTTATAGGGTCAAAGGACATTGACCTTGTCTATTAGTTTATGCTTTCATATTTGACCTCAGACGTCTACTTCCGCTTTTATAGCTGTCCAAAAACATCCAAATTCGCAAATTTGGACTGCTCTAGCTCGTGACCTAATTAATTTTAAGGGTAAATTTTTGTGGATTCTGAATGTGCTCATCGAGCTCTTTCCAGTGATATATAATGCGAAATTGAAATTTCTGAATTTGTGAAATTTCGGTGTTTTTTTTACAATATGTTAGCTTCTTTGAGCTAGTTCTATGTATTTCTTATGACCTATTTGCTGTATTTAGCTTGGAATTTGGAACACAACGAGACATATTAATTATAAATTGACCTATGACAAAAAAGTTGAGGTGTGCGTGGCACATTAGGCTTAAATTACTTATTATTTACATTTTTATCAGGAGTATAACTTGTATAAAATACATTTGTTCAAAACAGGACCTTGCACACAATTACCTCACCCATTTGGCCATTTTGTGTGAAAAGGTCAGTTGTTTCCGCTTCGTAGTTCAAAAAAAGGAACAGGGTTTAAATTTTGCATATTTTCAAAATTTTTTACCTTTTCCATTGATGACCTTGACCTTTGTAGGATCGAAGGTCATTGACCTTGGCTAAAGATTTATTCCTTCATACTTGATGTTCATCGTCAACTTCCGGTTTTATAATGTTTGTATTTTCAAAGTTTGATGACTCATATCTAGTGACGTTGACCTTAAATGACCTTCCCCTTAACATAGTCAAAGGTCATTGACCTTGGAAATCTAATCATACTTTCATGTTTTATGTCTGGCTTCAACTTCCGCTTTCACAACCTTCCAAAAAAGCGAAATTTTCAAAATTTTTAACTGCTTTAGCACGTGACCGAATTGGCTAAGAACGTTGATTTTTTCAGATTCTCTAGCAAATTGGCACAAGAGCAAAGTCCCACTCAGTACCACGAGTGGTTCTAGTGTTTAATGGTTTTAGAATAAGATTTAGGGCAAATACCCCCGAATTTATAATCGATACAAAAGATTACATATACACATTAACGAGAGGGTTAATAGATTTAATGAATGGCGAGGACGTTGTAATTGCCGATTGCAAGGATTTAGTAGCATACTCAAAATTTCTACATGCGATCAGAAAGACAGGACCCGAAACACGAAGATTGAGAGAAGTTGATTTATATATAACAAAAGTTATTGCGCAAGATGAAGAGGCGGTAGATGATTATGCAGAAGATTATCCAATCATACAAGAAATAGACGAATTCGATGATATGGTGGCATCTGGACAAGGTATAACTTTTTTATCCGACAACGAGGAACTAGTTAATAGATTACGAGTAATATTAGCGGCCATGAAGGAAGGTCATCGATCGGACAGACAATACAACGAAGTCAATGGCATATTAAAACGACTTTTGCAGAAAAAAATCATCACTAAAAAAGAATATATAAACGTCATTAAAAACGTCCAATAAAGAGCAATTGTTCGTTATCACCTCGAATAAATCAGACATCAAATTGTCTCTAGACTACGAGTATGAACTCGATCGCAATAAACAGTACGAACTGGGATTAAAGTATTTCTCCGTTTACAATTCCATTAGAAATATCAACGAAAACAACAATCAACTAAAAATATCGACGGATAACGGAGTTACGTTCAAAACCATAAGCTTACTACCGGGAAGCTACGAATACGTAGCAATCAGCGATTACCTATCCGAATACGCAGGAAGCGTGAGCTGTAAAAACAATATCGAATTCGAAGGTAATTTGAATCTGAACAAAATAAAACTGATCTTGAGAAATAACAGTCAAGTCGATTTCAACGTAGAAAATTCGTTGAATGCGTTACTAGGGTTCGATAAACGAATATACGCGCAATCGACATTGGCGTCGCACAAGGCCAACATCGAGAACGACATCGACGTGATTAACATTCACTGTAATTTGATCAACGGTGGATTTTTCAACAAGCACAAACGTCAAATCATATACAGCATACCGACTTTTACGGTGCCGATCGGATACAGAATTATAGAGAAACCGTTCCAAACGACCTATTTACCAGTCAATTCTTTCATGATCAAAGATATAAATCTGGAAATCAAAGACGGTAAAAACAGGTTCATAGACTTTGGCAACGAAGAAATTGTCATTCAACTTCATTTAAAACAATCTTCATTCTCTTCTTGAATAGTAAGATAATCGCAATCATCAAATTCATAGTTTTCGTCAAAACTATACTCATCTTTGTCGTTGTAAGGATACATAATTCCTTCACTGTTTGGTGGTTTTCTTTTAACATTATTCAAATAACTTCTTAAAAACTTTAGTTTGTTTATAATTTGGAATAACTACTCCATTGGTGAAACTTTTTTCCCATGGTTTGTTAAATTCATTCGACACATCATGTCCGCTTGCTAACAAGCTACACTTATCTTATCATTAGAATAACCTTTAAACGTTTTCTTTTCTTTTAAAACACCATCAGAAGTCAAAACGATGTTGTATTTGACTTTTGGTGCTAAATATAAACCAAATATAATTCCATCGTCACCGTAATCGTTTTTACCTTTGCAATAGTCTTTTTCGGAGACCAAACCAGCTCTTTTTAGTTTTTTCCAATTGTTGGATGAAATGTACAAACTATCGGTGTCGTTATAGTATATTTCGGGTTTATAAAATCCATTTATGACGTGAATGAAATTGTTCATTATTTTTTTACTGTGAGATAAAACGAATGATCCCAAATGACTAGGTGTTAGTCGTGTAGATTTACTATCTTCGGTAGTAATCTCTTTTTCTTCAATTTCTGTTTCAACAATATATTGAGTATCATTAATTTTCTCATTGGTTTTAACACGTGCATCAAAGTTGGCCTTTAAAGTTGCTTCATTCCATAAATGTCTAGTTGTGAATATATCTTTCTGAATTGATTTACCATACAAGGAATTACCTAATAATTTCATGCAATTACTACCCACAATATATATTTATTTCTTAGATCTCTCAAAATTAAAATATAATCTCTATAGGGTGGAGTTTTAAAATTTTCTTCGTAAACTATACCATCTAATATTCTAATAATTCGTCCACCGGCTTTCACTATTTCTTGAATATCGACCGATGTTAATACGTCGTGACAGAAACCATTTCTGAACCTGATTTTAGTGCCAGTTTCCTTTTTACCTTCTTTAATCGTGAAAGTGATTTTATCTTTAGCTGGTATCGGTTGGAAGAACATGTTTTTGGGATAGTCAAACCACACTGTTAAAATAGTTGTTCTAGGTCTGAATTTTTGTTTATTGAAGAGTTTTACAAATTCTTTTTCTTCTTCTGGTAGAAACGGTCTTCCACTTTCCGCTCTCGGATATTCACTGTCTAAATCCGACATGGCGGAAGCGTATAAACCGTTAGCATCAAATGCCATTAGTTTAGTACCTTCTATTTTTTTAAGTCTCGAATGAACCTCCGTTTTGTCTTTTGTGCTTGCGCTGTATTCTTTGAATAAATCAATTATGTTATTACTTTCAAGTTCTGTATATTCCTTTAATACGTTACAAATTTCATCCATTTTGTTCGTTTCAAATGATTTTCCATTTGCCGAAACTCTTCCTCCGTTAATAGATCGTCTGATAAAATTTCTTATAAAAGGATTAGTGTGCGAATAAACTTTTTCTATATTTTCTTTTATATGTTTCGAAACCATTCTAGTAGTTTCATACCATTCTTCTTCAACCATTTCTTTATCGTAATGATATAAATAATACCAACCCTTTAAAAATAAAGATGGAGCCGTTAGATTATTGGACATATTCTGGTTTACAACTTCTTTCATGACTTGGTTGTATTTTATCAAACAAGCTCCCAAACAGAGAGTGTCTCTCTTGGCGTAAGGTTCCCATTCGTGTTTCAATTCCTCCCAGTTGTCATGCGTGTATTTAGCGATATCTACGTCGGCAATCTTTCTCAAATTCGCGGGGAGATTGGAAGAATTTCCCCATGCAGCCAAACTAGAGGATTCGTGTTGGTAGGAACACGTGAAATTAATATGTTGTAAATAATTATTTCTTTCTGTCTTTTCCATTTTTTCTGTAAATCTGCATCTGTGTATGGATTAGATAATGGAAAAGATAGAATTCCTCTGGGTGTTTTTAAAGGGCAATGCGTTAGTTTTTTTGCATTTTTAAGCACGATCCAGTTGTCGAATCCACTGCCGTTGTGAGAAATTAATATTAATCTCTTTCTATCATATTGACCTAAATATTTCAACATTTGATCTATACAATCTGTATCTACAAATATTTCTACTACATTCATTAGTTTATCATAAAATTCTTCTGGAACATTATCAGTAAGAAATATATCTTTTTCTAACTTTTTTCTTGATACGTTTCGCAATCCCAAGCGAATAACGCATCATCACTCATACTTGAAAGCACGTTTAGTTTAAGGGGTGAAACCTGTGTTACTGCGTTATCGTCTCTTCACGTTTTCCACACCTGTTCGTAATTGTCTTCTATTTCTTGAATTCCCAAACTTTTTTGGCTTCTTCTAATCAAACAGAAATGCGAGTTGTGTAAGTAAAAAACCCAACTAATTCATCATGTACGTCTCTGGGATGAAAATGTCTGTTTTTGGGATTATAAATTTGAAACGAAGTGTTAAATTTCTTGTTGAATTCCTTCATTCTAGCACAAGTCATCACTCCTTTTCTATTTGCTTTTGAAAACCCGTTGATGTATTCTTGAAATTTACACGTTAAATCTTTGTTCAAAACACGATTGACGCATTTGATAAAACAGTGACCATCTGTAGGTATGTAACAATTTTCGCCTTTGTATTCATTTATCTTTTTAAGTAGATCAGTTCCTCCTCTACCAACTCTCGATCTTTTTATTTCTTGGAAATTGTCTTTTATTAAAATTATTTTTCCTGTAAAATACCAATCGGAAGCATCAGATTTTTTGTCCATATTTGAAAAGATATTGTGAAAAGTTTTGGCATTGAAACCGAGGAGTGACATGTATTGTCTGTGATATCCTTCCTCGACTATCTCTCCATCTATTTTAATTTGTCCTTTGAATGTTTTAAATCTATCAGAGATAGCTTGATAACATCGGAAAATAGGGCGTTTTCTTTCAATGTTTCATCGTGTTCGATTTTATTCATATTTTTTTAAGTATATATTTTTGATTATTTCTTTATTTTGACCGCTGATATTTCTATATGGAATTTGTCCAAAATTTCATTGAATTCTTCTAATTCTTCAACTGTTATGTTCTTGTCTTCTCTTTCGAAAAAGATGTACAATTGATTAAGATACATATTCAAGATATCCGTTTTCTTTTTATAATGAGCTTTCTTTTTGCTTGTGAAACCTAAAGTGATGAGGCCGCAAGAGGCCGTTTGAACGGCTGTTAATGCAGCCAATACGGTTGGGACGATGACCGGAAGCATTAATCCACCTGTCACGGCCGTTGCCACCGTTACTCCTACCGTTAGAACTGTGCTCTCTGTTTTGAAAACAGAATCGATTCTACTCCATGTTTTCCTGCATGTATTGTACTGTCTTAACTTTATTTTCAACTCTTCTTGTTTGTCTATCATGTATTGTTGTCTGCTTTCGAGTTCCATTTTTTAAGTCGTTAAATTAAGTGAATTTCCGATAAATAGCACCACGGAATATCAAATAGAGCGTGGTCGTTTGGCCTAGCATTATTAAATTTTCGGGTATTAAAAGTAAAAACATTTACGCGTACTAACGACATTTCTTTTTTCGTATGGTCCTCGTTAAGATGATAGGAATATTTAATTTTTTTTTTCGATGTTTATCTTGGCTCTAAAAATATAACCACCAGCAACAAGGATGGAGTCGGAACCTTCGGCAAACGTTAAATGTACTATAAACTCTCGTTCTTGTTGACTTTTATGAACATCGATCGAGGTGTATTTTTCACCTAAAGCGAAATACAGTTTTACGTATCCAAAGTCTGTTGTTCGTAAAAACTCGTGACTGCTCGATTCTATTTTTCCGTGTGCGTGTAAGCGTCGTGGAATTTTGACAATGTTGGTTGATGGTGGATTTTCCGTCTCCAATATCATATCTAAATCTTTGATATCCTTATCATTTTCTACTTCCATTTTAAAGGTGTCTACATATTTACCATTTTTCGTTTCAATTTCCTGATCCCTTTTATCAATCAAACGTATATTCTCTCCCAAATTACCATCATTGAATAATGAAATATGTTTGACGGCCTTACCGGTTTGTTTGAAGACTACTTCATTGACTTTAACCTTCATGGGAAACTCTATTTGAATCAGACAATTACCTCGAAAAGTAAACGCTTCCGTTTCGCCGATATCGAATACGTTTTTAGGTTCTCCGTATTCGAGAGAACCCACTTTTATTTCTGCTTTGAATCCGTATTTGTTTGATTTATAACTTTGGTCTTTTCTATCGAAGACAGTGTCACTTTCGAATGGAAGATGAAATAATACGATTTGTCCGTGACAATAGCTTCTAATTTGGTCAACTTTCTCTCTTGTCTCAAAAAATCGTCATGAATTCTAGATACCAAAAGATTGACCTGTTCTTTAATATAATTTTTCATATCATCTCGAAATTTATTTTGAAGAAAGTTTTTAATCACACCCACTTCTTTTTCTAATTCGTCTGTGATTTTAGTATCCAAAGCAGTCAATTGTCGTTTCAACGTATCTTTGTCAATGGGAAAGTGTGTTAATTATATCTTGAACATCTGATTTTTGCTTCGCGATCTTTTCGTTCAATTTGAATTTTGTAACTCGGTTTTGTCCGCGGTCTTGTCTAGTTCTGCTAGCAATTCGCCAAGGTTTCTTTCCAAAGCGGTTAGTTTTCGTTTCAATCTATCCTCGTTTACATTTGGGTTATCTATTAAACGTTGGACGTCTATTTTTACCTTCGTAATCTTATCGTCTAATTTAGATATTAAATTTTGCAACTGACTTGTTTTATCCACTTGAATAAGACGTTTCAAACTCGTTAACTCTTGTTGTAGTTTGGGTTCGTCCACAAGATTTTTAATATTTCGTCTGAGGTATCTTTTCACGTCAGTTATTCTATTTTCAACATGGTCCTTATCTATTTTAATTTGATCCAGTAAATATTTCTTGTTCACGGCATCGTTATCGTTTCCTGAAAACTTTAAATTAGTTATTTTGAAATTGTTCATATCGATATCCCCTTGTAAGGTGTCTCCGATTTGGTCCACGAAAAAAGGTTTCGCTTTGTTTATAAACGTCGTCATGGGATTTTTAGATTCTAGAGGTAAAGACCCTAATCCAAATTTTTATTGAGTTAAATTTATTATAATTTCTTCACACTTTTCTCCCAAACTCAACCGATATAAAACCCAAAGCGACAGCTGTCCACACAGCTTTTGTCCGGGCATTTGAATTTGAAACGTAGAACATTTGATTGGTTTGCTTAGTCAATTTCGTTATCTCTTCTGTCGGTTCTAGACCGAAAGAATCAAAGAAATAAAAGTTATTCGAAGAATCTTTGTGTAGAGCAGAGTGATGAACTCCTTTTTGATCCGACGTATGAATGTTTGTGATCGCGTAAAATTGACCTTTCTTGTATTTCAGTTCATCAATTTCATCTCGCATGCAATAATAAAACGGCGAGACGTTCAATTCCTTGGCCCATCTAACAAGTTGAAAATTTGTGGTCGTGTCTTTTCCGTATTTATCGAGAAATGCATTCATTTTTTAAGTTGATTTTTTTTAGGTGTTTTTCGAAGTAGGCGGTAAGTATTGCTGAAGACCCAATTGACGAAATATATACGTAGTTTGTGTTTGAAAAAACTTGTATAACATTCTGATAAAACACATTCAATAATATTTTGAAGATAAATTTACATTTAAATTTAAAAAATCTTAATTTAAGAGAGCGTAAATGCTTGTCGACATCTAAATCTACATTTTCGAGATTCATTTTTAAAAGTCAGTTTTTTGAAGTTCATTTTGATAAAACCTTCCTATGATTTGTTCCTTGTCTTGATCGATCAATTCATACGTGGGAGGTGATGTGCTGTTTACTTTATCAACGATGAATATCTCGTTAGTCCAATACCCGACGTAACGTTTCTGAAACAATGATTTATATTTAAAAATACGAACTCGATCTCCAACTTTGAATTTGGGTTTAATATTCAAATTGCTAATCTCGTTTTCAAAGTTATTTGAGTGTTTATGATATTTGGGTTATTAGAGGCTTGCGTTGGCGTCACACCTATAGACGAATGTATTTTGTTATTGTATTCGTCGAACTCAACTGGTAATATTTTAAGCCATTTTTGAGATTTCAATTCCGTGAATTTCTTGAATAATTTGCTTTTAAGAGTCCTGTTGAATCTTTCTATCACTACGGCCTTACCTTCATTATGCGTGCTGTAAATTTCAAACCCCAGAGATTTCACATTTCTGTTGTAGAATTCGCTTCCTTTATCAACCCACAACTTTAGGGGTCGTCTGTCGGATTGTTTCATTATGGTTTCGAATGCTTGTTTGACAGTCAGACCCGATTTGTTTTTCAAGGGAAAGACCCAAGTGTATCTCGTGTATATGTCGATCACCGTCAAACAATACTTGTACCCTCTCTCGACTGGCATGTTGATTAAATCGGCTGACCAAATTTCATCTTTATCAAAAACTTTGACTTTGAGGTGATGTTTGTTTTTTCGAAATTCTTTGTGAATCTCGTCTGCTATGCCCATACCCAATTTCATTTTTGCCTTCAAGAGTTTTATGATAAGAGCCCTCTGTAATTTCTCTTTGAAAGTGGGATAGGGAATATTTTCGAGTTCGTCTATCATTTGTTTGTCTGCTTGGTGTCTGAATGTTATGTCTTTGTTTCTGTACAGTATGTCGTGTTTGAGCGCTGCTGCGTCAACTCTATTAACGGGATCTTCCCCTGGTTTGGGATTATCATTTTCGTCTAAACGCAGATCTAACCTAGTGCCTGGACCTGTATAATTGTGCCCTGGGAGATGTTTTTCTCCGGGATATTTTGCCCATGGGAATCCAGGAAGAGAACCCAATGACTTTTGAATGTCTCCCGCACCGAAATACGTTTAAGGGCTTTGTGCAATTATCATTGACATTTTTATCCAATAATCTTAAAACCATTGCCTTTTTTGTTTTCTAATCTTTTATTTCGCATTTCTCTTATATGCTCCTGAGGAAATGAGGGATTTGTTGTTTGAGACAAAATTGGCCACTTTGGGGACGAGAGATGTTAGCGCAGAGAAGAAACCGTCTCCTTCGAATTTTTTTTTGTTCGTGTTTTAAAATTAAAGACATTTTTATTTTTTTAATGCGGTTATTTTATACTGTATCATTTTAGTGAATCTTGTCTGTGGTTTGGGTAATTTATATGGAGTGTGTTATAATACAGTTTGGAGGAGTCTGTTATAATACATTTTTTTAACAGTTTGGAGGGGGAGTCTGTTATAATACATTTTTAGCAGTTTAGGGAGTCTGTTATAATACATTTTAACAGTTTGGGGAGTCTGTTATAATACATTTTAACAGTTTGGGGGGAGTCTGTTATAATACATTTTAACAGTTGTGTCTTTTCGGATATGACGCATGAAAAAGCTGCGCATGCGCAGAAGTGAAATGCATCATATAAGATGCCATATTCTACTGGGTAAGGATTGCCAAATGATGGAGGCACTGCAAAACTTGGAAGAACACCTTCACAAAGGGTTATTCCTCCTTATGAGTAGGGATTGGTTGGCGTCGGTGGGCTGGTAGTCGTTTCTGTTGTTGGTCAGGTCGATGGTTACCTCTGGATTGGTAGGCTGTGTTGTAGGTAGGTCGGCGATTGGTAGGTGGTAGAGGTCGATGGAAGACAGGGCCGTTGTAGGGTACGTGATATTGGTTTGGTTGACGATTAGTGTTTCTATGTCTGGCTTCTTGCAAGTGGTTGTTGTAGTTGGGGAGTATAATAAAAATAACTTGAGGTTTGAAAGGGAATGTACAACGGATTAACAGGAGGAAACTGTATATGCTAGCGTGAAAATGTGGGGATCAAATTATGCAAATAAGTCAAACTGGGTTTGGGGATAAATAAAGTAAGATGAAAGTTATGATGAAAAATATATATTTAGGTGACAAATAACACCAACAATGATGTGAAAATTATAACAGGTAAAACAAAAACTTACGCAATTGACACGAACCGGTTTTCGAAATATTATCCTTTTTCAAGTGTCGAGGAATGGTTATGAAATGAGATTGAATTTGCTATTTATATAGTAGTCAGTTAATACAGGTTTTTGATTTTCTAAAAATTATTGAGTGAATCATGTCATATCTTTGATCTTAATTAGTTGAGTTATATCTTTGATCAATTGATTATAGAAATATTGGATTAGATTTTATTTATATCTGTGTAATAATTCAGGGGGATTAGATTATCTCAGAGTACAATTTACATAAATGAAAAACATAAATAAAGAGATTGGGGATTATAGAAATATTGGATTAGATTTTGAATATATCTGAGTAATAATTCAGAAGGATTAGATTATCTCAGAGTACAATTTACATAAATGAAAAACATAAATAAAGAGAAATCAAGAATATAAAATTATGATATAAATAAATATGAGAAATATATGATAAAATAAGCGGAAATTGATTAGAACTAACTTTGAATTTTGATTATACCCGAGTAGTAATTTCAATGGATGGATTATCTCTGAGTATAATTTACACGAAAGAAAAACATAAATAATGGCAATCAAATTTATTTGGTAAGATTAAAAGATAAATGCAAATGACTATGATCCAGAGATAAAAGTTGAACATTCTTGTTTTGCAACAACTGCGGTTCAGTCGAATCCTACACAAGATTTTATTGAATACTTTTCGGATTGGTTTCGCTTAAAACGCTCCGTTGCATGGATTTTACGTTTTAAACACTATTTCAGGAAATGGTCACAGGATCGCAAAGCCTTTGGGGACACTCTCGCGACAAACATAAACGCTGAAGTTAAGGAAATAAGAATTAAAAATCATGTAGGTAAAATTCGAAAAAGGGACTTGAATAATTCTGTCTTGAGTACAATGGATATACAATCTGCTGAGAGGGCAATACCGCTATACACTCAGCGTCGAACTTTTATGGACACTATTAGAGAGCTTGAATCTAATGTTAATGAACAATTCCACGTGAGCAGGAAGAGCCATTGGTATCGCTTGGATCCAGTATATGATAATGGCCTTATTAAGGTTGGTGGACGATTACGTCATGCAGACATGCCAGAAAGTATAAAACATCCTGTTATTATTTCTAAAGATGGACTAGTAACAACGTTTATAGTTCGAGATATGCACAATAGGCTAGGTCATTCTGGTCGATATCACACTATTGCTGGTGTAAGAGAAAACTATAAGATAATTAACTGTACGTCATATTTTGTCATGGTGCTTTGTTTGTCGGAAGCTTAGATCTCCTGCCCTGTCTCAAAAGATGGCAGACTTACCTAGGGATAGGATGACGCTTGCATTCAATTTTCGTCCGTCGGAGTGGATTATTTTGAACCCTTTTCGGTGAAAGAAGGGCGTAAAATACTGAAACGTTATGGCGTAGTTTTTACATGCCTTAAAATTAGAGCTGTGCATATCGAGATTGCGCATTCCCTAGACACAACTTCGTTTTTACAGGCTTTGCGCAGGTTTATTGCACGTCGGGGTTCTGTTTCAGAAATGCGAAGCGACAATGGAACGAACTGTTGTGGAGCAGAGCGAGAACTGCGTTTAGAAATTCAAAAATGGAATCAAAATCAAATCCATCAGGAATTATAACAAAAGGCTTGGAGACGCGTTCAACATCTGGTAAATATGTTCTGGAATCGGTGGCAAAAGGAATATCTTGTACTTTTACAAGAAAGACAAAAGTGGACAAAACCCCAACGCAACGTTTCGGTGGATGATATTGTGTTGATCATAGACGATAATATGCCGCGTAATATGTGGATTATGGGCAGGGTATTAGAAGTTAGCCCAGATTCTTTGGGGAAGATACGCATTGTAATCGTTAAGACCAGTTCAAATGTCATGCAAAGACCAATTTCTAAGCTTGTGCTTCTACTGCCATAATCTGTTATTGTTAAACCCTTTCAGTTTAAGGGGCCGGACCGTAATGGCAGTTACTGCAATATATGATTTTATTTTAAATGTTTACTGTGTAATAGATTGGTTGTGGTCCGTAAGATATTTTAACTCAGTTGATTAT